TTCCAATGGATTTGACAAGGAGAATTTGTTAAACAATCAAGGGTTCTTCAGTTGATGATCATTTCCTTTATTCTCGTGACATTTTTGTTTTATTCAGGGGTGATACTGTGAGGAGAAATTAGATGTAAGTCAATCTTAGAGTTCAAAGGGTTAACAGCTGAAGGATTTGTAGATGAGCTAGATGACCGCTCTTTATCAATTTGAATATACGCAAAATCAGAAAAAGAGGATGTGATTAGCTGAGTTACTTACTTATTTAACTTAATTAGTAATAGTAATAGGACTGAGTGGAATCCAATTCGGTCTTTAATCATACTTTGTCATCAGGAGTATGATTACAGACCGAATTGGACTCCACGAAGTCTCATTGCCAATTAATTATAAAAAAATACAATTTGTGAGAAGAGAAGTATAGCCAAGTTATGAAAGAAAGAGAAAATTTGCATTAAAAGACTGACAAAGGAATTAGTGTTTCTATGGTGATCGAAACCGAGGCTGTGATTGGTTGATTTAAGTTACAACTTTGAATGTGATTGATTCATGAAAACTAAAATTCTGAATGTAATTTGCTTATTGAACTGTCCTATAACAAACTGTCCGATAACAACTTGAGCAAGTGAACTAACGGAAAATGTGAGTTTTTCAAACCATTCACTATCGAGGAAATTGTAATTTTTATGATTAAGACTGATATTCTCAGCACAATTGCATAATTGAAAGATAATTAACACTGATGCATGTATGAAATCTAAAAAAAAAAAAAGATAGGAAATGGGAAGATTTGTATTAGGAATAAACTGACATTAATAAAAGTCGAAGAATTAATAAGAAACCGGCCTCATTATCTCGCACGAAGGGATGCGAATGTCGAGCGTGGTGTGATAAAACAGCAAAAGTCCAGCAATGAAGTCCTACGCCCACAGAAGAGGGAGAAGTTTGCCTATCTGTTTGTCACGCTATATTTCCCTTAACCTTTGGGAATAATGAAATGAGGGAATAAGGATCAGTGGACTGGGTACGGTGAACAGAGAACCGGGAAGAGAAAATAGAGAACGGGAAATAGAGAACAGGGAACAGAAAACGGGGAACAGAAAATAGCAAACGGGAAATAGAGAACAGGCAACATGGAACGGGCAAGAGAAAATAGAGAACGGTGAACAGAGAAGAGGGAACAGGGAATGGAGAAGATAGAAAAAGAGAATGGTGAACAGAGAACAGCGTAAAGGAAAATAAAGAACAATGAACGGGGAATAGGGACCGAGGAACGGGGAACAGGGAACGAAGAACAGAGGACGTGGAACAGAAAACGTGAAGTAGAGAACAGGGAACTGGAGACAAGGAACGGGGAACAGTTGAAAGGTAATGAAGAATAGAGTACGAGGAAAGGGGAATTTTGAATGGGGAACGAACGGCAAAATAAAAAAAAAACTTACGGCAAAATAAAAAAAAAACTTACGGCAAAAGAAAAAAGACCCACGGCAAAAAGAAAAAACCTCACGGCAAAAAGAAAAAGACTCACGGCAAAAGAAAAAAAACCTCACGGCCAAAAGAATAACCTCAGGTCAAAAGTAAAAGACTCACTGTAAAAGAAATAACCTCACGGAGCAGAGAGGCATTTTATTGTGCATGTTCTGTAAATTTTAGTTTGAAGTGAGGAACCGCTGCTATGCGCCTACGTCAGTTTTTTCTTTTTTTTTTTGCAATGAGGTTTTTTCGTTTTCCGTGAGTCCTTTTCTTTTTGCCGTGAGGTTTTTACTTTCGCCGTGAGTCTTTTTTATTTATTTTTTATTATTAGTATTATTATTATTAATGTTTTTTTTTGCCGTGAGGTTCTTCCTTTTGCCGTGAGTCTTTTTCTTTTGCCGCGAAGTTATTACTTTTTCCGTGACAGTTGCGGGCCACCCTGTATATCATTTATTAAGAAACAAAGAATAAAAACCCGTCAGTTTCATACGTATGAAGAAAGATCATTATTCAGATAACTATCGGCTTTTTCCTTTTTGAACAGATGCGCACATCTTCCAAAAGGGCCAATTTTGCCATGCAAACGCCATGTTCGATTCTGAGTTTTGTCGCCGGAAGATTATAAAGAACCTGAGGTCGTTTTTTTTTTTAAAAGTTAGTTGAGATAAGGTAGGCTTTGAAGCTAAGATTATTTTCTTAACAAAAGTACATCGGCACAAATCGGCTCTTCGGAAAGGTGAGAGGTTCGGTCACTTCAGTCAAGTCACGTGGTGTCCTCAATCACTCGGTCGTTTGTTTGTTCTTTTTCCTATTTTGTGTTTCTTAAGTAATTGCAGAGTTTTTTCACGTCTCCTAAAGTACATGAGAGAACTGTATTCCAGAATTTCGTGTGTAGTGCAAGACAATTGAATGTTATTGTTAACTTATTGCGAAAACGCCTGAAGCTACCGCGTCCTACATTAACATCAAGAAAATATTAAAAGGATAACTAGTGTATATTGAAAAACACATTAATAATTTTAAACTTGTTTAATGAATTTTTACCAGTAGCGAAAACAGAAAAAATGAAATGAAATTAAATAGAATAAGAAAGATGGTTAGTTTGGAGTCGGTAAACGCAGACTCAGAATTTTTTATTTGTCTAACGCTCGTCACAAGACGAAAAACATCTTTCTCTAGAATTAAACTGTTTCCTAACAGAAGTTGACAGAATCATGCAAAATTCTTCAGAGCGTCTTTATTGCTCCTTTCTATGGAAAACTAGAGGAAATCACCAAAGTGTAACCTATCTGTCACCTAATTGAATGGGGTCGAGAAATTTTAAACAACGTCATTGCCTAATCGATCGGAGGGTATGTTATAATTATAGACAGGAATTCGTAATTCTTAATCATCATTCAGCTCGCGATCGACTTTTTCCCTATTAAACAGCTGCGTACAGCTCATAAAGTGCCAATTTTGCCATGCAAACGCCTTGCACGATTCTGAGTTTTATCGGCGGAAGATTATGAAGAACCTGAGGACGCTTTTAAGAAAGTTATTTGAGATAAGGTAGGCTTTGAAGATTATTTTCATTCTCTTTGAAGACTATTTTCTTTCTCTTTTTCTTTTCAATGCTTTTAAGAAAGTTATTTGAGATAAGGTGTGCTTAGGGTTTTGTTAAATCCCTTTGATATGCTATACTTGTTATTATATTACGTTTTTTATACTCCGACGTGGTTTGATGAGAATGTGTAGCGAGAATTCGGTAATAACAAGACTTAGTCGGAGAGCATTCATGGACTTCTTAATATTTTCCCTCCTAATTTTTTAAATTTAATTCAAGACTTTTACCATTTGGAAGAATAAAAAAACGTCTCCTGTGGTAGGAATATATCAGAAATGAAAAAGAAAAACTACTAAACAAGCGGAGTAAATTGGCGAATGCAGCAGATATCTTGGATGGAAGAGAGTTTCAGATATTGAGTATCAGTTTTCGAAACTCGCTTGACTTTAAGGCGATGGATGATAACCGTTTGGTAAAAAAAATTATTTTGATATGCTTTTCTTGTTATTAGCCTTTGTAAAAAAATCTTTAAAAAAAATCATTTTTTAGCCTACGGTTACTAATGGAGATGCGCATCTGCTGGAAAGCCAAAACGAACAGCATACGAATAGCATGAAATTTAAACGAACTTCTCTGCGGACCAATTCTGAACTATGATATCGACCATTATGAAATTAATCATGATTACAATAATAACTATAACAATGATAACAAAACAAGCGAAATAGAAGCTAAAAGACAAAGGAACATCTTTGAAGTGTTGGCGCTTTATTTTCAACGCTAGTTATCAACTTTGCATCCCATATGAATAAATTGTCAGTCTTCCCTTGTTTATTCAAGAGAAATAGTAAATAATACATGGCGGGCGCAGACATAGGATTTCTCTTCTCGTGTTCAACTCGATGTCTCACGAGTTCGCACTAAGCTAGCTGCACTCACTCGTGAGACGTCGAGTTGAACACGAGAAGAGAAATTCCGAATCTACCAGCGGCCATGTATTATTTTGTTTATTCACAGTCTTTACCGGCACGTAAAGTCGACTTTATTAACAAATGAAAAAAAAAAGAAAAAAAAAAAAAGGATCCATCATCTAAGCAGAAAGTGGTAAATTGCGTCGGTTATAATGCTAAAGATGATAAGAAGCGTTGAATCATTATAAAAACAAGCAATGGGCGTAAATTTCAATTCACATAAGTCTCTGAACCATACCAAATGAGCTGTCATTCATTTAAATGATCTAAGACATATGTGATTCGTTCACGCATGTCGTGTCTGTATGAAATATATTGCGGTGCGTCGTCGAAGGGTAAAAGGCTATGTCGCATTCTCGCACAGAAAGTAGCCTGTGAATTCGAAAAGTTATATTTCTGTAATAAGCAGTCAATTCCATGCAACAACACAAAATGAACAAAAGCATGGAGAGGCGTCTTCCGAGCAGGAATTCAAAAATGAAACAAAATAAAAGTAAAATAAAATTAAGACTTATCAACCACAACTTTTTTACTGAAAAATAATGATTTCAGTTTGAGAGAGGAATAGGTGAACTTTGGGGTCAGCATGTTAGTTTTCTTTTGCAATAATGAGCCTACACGAACGGAAAGCTACGAGCTCAATATTCACTGATTTGTGACTCGTAAAAAAGTGTTCAAAATCTCTTAAGCAACTATAGGAACTAGTTGCTCTGCACAACCAATAGGGAAATAAAGGTCGTCTTCATATCGGAGAGGGATTTTTTAAAAGGACGTAGCTAACATTTACGAAAACGTACCACGTACCGAAGGAGGGATGTAAGACCATGTGTAAACTTTGTCTTCTTTAGGGATACCAAAATAAAGTGTGGAGGTCACGTCAGTCTAGTCTCTTTCACAGTATAAAAGACAGGTTAGTATTCTGCTGTCAAATCATTGCCGGAAATACCTTAGTATTTCTCAATTATTTGGAAAAGCAAAAGATTTCTAGGATGTCTTCTTCACCGGGGTGTATAACCTGGATGGTTGTGGGCCTGACTGAATCTGTCACCATAATAGCTTTGAATTCTTTGACAGTGATTGTATTTTGTGGAGACCGTAATCTTCGTAAACGATCTACATACTTGGTGATAAGCTTGGAAGTTGCAGACATGTTATCCGGGGGAACTGCTCCACTCGACCTCGTCTATAATGTTGGAGGAATATGTAACTTCTGGAGGCACAATACAGAGCATTGGTATCAGATACCATGGTTCTTACTCTTCTGGTTTCTCGTTTGTTCGTTAGCAAATATGACCGTTATTTCTCTAGAACGTCTGAATGCAACGTTTTGGCCCTTCAGACATCGTACGATCAAAAAGTCAGTCTACTGGGTTCTTATAATCGCCATCTGGTTGACAACACTACTCTTTTGTGCGTTGATAATGAATTATTACTATACACATAAACTGGACTATTACTAACCGTTACGTTGTTCACGGTGACTTCTCTCTCTCTCCTATTGTGGCTGCCTTATGTTATAACTACTTTTCTGTTTTTTGCTAGTGACATTTTAAGTTCATTTTCTGAAATAGCGCTTTTCCGTTTGCTACGTGTTTCAGTTGTCTTGCTTTACGCAAACTCTTTTTTTAATCCCATATTGTATACTATGAGAATGCCAGGTTTTAGGCGAGCTTTAAAGGTATTATGTCGCCAACGACCTCAGCCACACAGACAGGTTCAGATCATTCCCCTCCATGAGATTAACCCCCAAAATTGAATAATACTGACGTGGGAGAAATGAACATGACTCGTAAAAAAGTGTTCAAAATCTCTTAAGCAACTATAGGAACTAGCTGCTCTGCACAACCAATAGGGAAACAAAGGTCGTCTTCATATCGGAGAGGGGTGTTTTAAAGGGAAATAGCTAACACTTGCGAAAACGAACCGAAGGAGGGATGTAAGATTATGGCTAAACTTTGTTGTCTTAAGGAATACCAAAATAAAGTGTAGAGGTTACGTCAGTCTTGTCTCTTTCGCAGTATAAAAGACAGGTTAGTAATCTTTTCTAAAATCATTGCCGGAAATACCCAAATATTTCTCATTTATTTGGAACAGAAAAAGGCTTCTCAGATGGTTTCTTCACTGGGGTGTATAACCTGGATGGTTGTGGGCCTGACTGAATCTGTCGCCATAATAGCACTGAATTCTTTGATAGTGATTGCATTTTGTAGAGACCATAATCTTCGTAAACGAAATTAGAAATAAACTGTCACAAATAAAAGTTCATAAATAAAAGTCGACGAATAAATATGAAACAGGCTCCATTTTCTCGCGTGAAGGGATGGGAATGTCGAGCGTGGGAGTTGGATAAAACAACAAGAGTCCAGCAATGAAGTCCTACGCCCAAGAGAAGAGGGCGTAGTTTGCCTATCTGTTTGTATCGCTTCACTTACCCCAAACTTAAGGAATAGAAAATTAGGGAATAAGGGTTGGTGAACGGGGAACAGGAAATAGTGAACGGGGAAGAGAAGTAGAGAACGGGAAACCAGGAACTGAGAGCAGGGAATAGGGAACAGAGAACAGGGAATAGGGAGCGGGGAACAGGGAAAAAAGAACGAAGAATAGAGAACAGAGAACGTGGAACGGGGAAGGGGGAACGGAGAATAGAGAACGGGGAAGAGAATTAAAGAACGGGGAACAGGGAAAAGGTAACAGAAAGCAGGGAACAAGAACAGAGAGCGGAGAACAGGGAACAGGGAACAGGGAACAGGCAACAGGGAACAGGCAACAGGGAACAGGCAACAGGGAACAGGCAACAGGGAACAGGCAACAGGGAACAGGCAACAGGGAACAGGCAACAGGGAACAGGCAACAGGGAACAGGCAACAGGGAACAGGCAACAGGGAACAGGCAACAGGGAACAGGCAACAGGGAACAGGCAACAGGGAACAGGCAACAGGGAACAGGCAACAGGGAACAGGCAACAGGGAACAGGCAACAGGGAACAGGCAACAGGGAACAGGCAACAGGGAACAGGCAACAGGGAACAGGCAACAGGGAACAGGCAACAGAAAACAAAGAACGGGGAACAGGGAATAGAGAACAGGGAGGAGAAGTAGAGAACGGGGAGAAGAGAACAGGGAGCAGAGGGTAGGGAACAGGGAACAGAGAACAAAGAGCAGAATACAGGGAACAGAAAACAGGGAAAGGGGAGCGGGAAACGGGGAATGGGGAACGGGAAAAGGGAAAAGGAAAAAGGGAAAAAGAAAAAGATAACAGGGAATAGAGGACAGAGAACAGGGAACAGAGAAAGGGAGACAGGGAACAGTTTATAGGTGAGTGGGAGTGGAGAACAAGAAAAGAGGAATAGAGAGAGAAATTAAGCCTATGTCGATAATTTAGGCGATTTTTCGGTGAACGGTAGCAAAATAATAGAAACCTGCCAAGATTGTGCGGGATAAATTTTGGCCGCGGTAAATGGCCGATTTGTTGCCTAGAACTATGATCAATAATAACAAAGTTCGGATCTAGTGCACGCTGTCATTGGTTAAAAGAGCGTGCCTTATCAGAGTGCAAGACACGGAGCTGAGCTGTTATTCCCTAGACTCTTTTCATGTACATTATTAACATGTAATAACATGGTTATATTTTTCAAAGACCATAAATTGCACGAACTAAAACTTGCGGCAGATCACGCGAGAGGTGATCCCAGCGGTTGCCTTGCATCTGTGAAAGAACTGTATTACGAAGGTCACTTCAGTTAAGTCGCGTGGTGTCCTCAAGTCGCTTGTTTGTTCTTGATCTTATTTTGAATTTCTTATCAGTCTCTATTTTTTCTCTCTTTTTCCTTATTTATTTACTATTTTTGTAAAGTTTATTATGTCTCCTAAAGTGCATTAGAGAAGTGGATTCCAAAATTTCCGCGTGCAGTCCAAGACATGTGGGTGTTACTGTTAATTTAATGCAGAAAACGCCTGAAGTTACCGCCTCTTAAATTAACACCACAAAAACCTTTGAAAGGACCACTATTTTATACCGAAAAAACCATTTATAATTTTAACTTGTTTAATGCAACTTTTATGTATCTTTTAGAAAAAACCAAAGAATAAAATCCTTTCCGTTTCATACATATGAAGATAGATTATTATTCAGCTCTCCATCGACTTTTACCCTATTGGACAGATGCGTCCAGCTTACAAAATACCAATTTGCCATGCAGACGCCTTGTTCGATTCTGAGTTTTATCGCCGGAAGATTATAAAGAACCTGAGGAAGCTTTCAAGAAAGTTGGTTGAGATGAGGTAGGCTTTGTAGATTATTTTCCTAACAAAAGTACATCGGCACATATCGGGTCTACGGAATGGTGAGAGGACTGCTCACGGAAAAAGAAGTTGACAGAATCTTACAAAATTTATCAGAGCGCCTTTATTGCTCCTTTCTATGGGAAAAGGCAAGAAATCATCCCAGTGTAACCTAACTGTCACCTAATCGAATAGGTTCAACAAATGTTAAACGACGCTATTGCCTAATCGATCGGAGGGTATGTTTGAGACAGGAATTCTTAATTCTTAATTATTATTCAGCTTGCAATCGACTATTTCCTTATTAAACAGCCGCGCATAGCTCATGAAATGCCAATTTTGCCATGCAAACGCCTTGTTCGATTCTGTTCGTCGGCGGAAGATTATAAAGAACCCGAGGGGACTTTTAAGAAAGTTATCGGAGACAAGGTAGGCTTTAAAGATTATATTCTTAAAAAATTGCTCTTAGCCATTTTCAATGTTTCTAAAACGGAGGTCACCCTACATTCCGGGGAGAACTTACGGTAAAGTGAGTTTCTGATTAAAGAAGGTTGTTCAATACACCTTAATTAGGTCGATTTATCTGAGGCAGTTTGAATTATTAACTTAAATCCTCATTCAGGTGACATAAGATTGAAGGGAAACCCAATTTTTATTGCCGGCTTTAAAGAAATAAAATGTACAGATCAACGTCCTCTTTGGCATGAATATATTGAAAATGAAAAGGAAAAACTACTTGAAAAAGCGGAGTAAATTGGCAGCCACAACTGATATCTTCGGGCGATCGAAGTAAAATGTGTGACAAAGAGAAAAAGTTTTAGATATTCGACACTTGTTTGTATGATACCATGACTGAAGGCAAAAAATGAGAGGCGTTTTGTGTCAAATTCGTTTGATACGCTGTACTTGTTATAGGCCTAGGTAGAGTTTTTTTTAATATCTTTCTCATACTCTCACGTGCTCCTATGCAGATATGTTACGAGAATTCGTTAATAACAAGACTTAGTCGGAGCGCATCCATGGTTTCCTTAACCTTTTCCCCCTTATTATTATTATTATTATTATTATTATTATCGTTATTACGTTTTTAATTCACGACTTTTAACATTTGAAAGGAAAAAAAAATGTCTTCCATGGCAAGAACATATCAGAAATAAAAATTTTAAAAAAACTGCTAAATAAGCGGAGTAATTTGGCGAGTGCAGCTGATATCTTGGATGGAAAATAATTTAAGATAGAGAGTATTAATTTTTTTGAAAATCGCGTGACATAAAGTGATTTTTCTTGTTGTTAGCCTTGGTAAAAAATTTTAAGAAAACATTTTCTACGCCCACGGTCACCTTTCGAGTTGTGCATCTACTGCAAAGCACGAATGCACAGCCAATTTTTTTCTTTATTAAGATTTTTCATTAATTCTCAATTGGTAAAAAAGAGAGGGGAAAGTGAAAGAAGACTACTTGAAATAGATCTTGCGAAAAAAAATTATAAAGGAGAACAAAACAAAAAAAAATTAAACTCACAAATAAAAGAAACACAGTAATACTAAGAACGTCCAAATATGAAAATAACAACGACGGTGATTAGGAGGAAACCCATAATCCATTGCCAGCTTTCGAGTTATAACTTACAGAAATCAACATCATCCGCATCTGACTAAGAAACTAATTAGTAAGTGAAAAATACGACATTAAGTGGCGCTGATATCTGGTATGCAGATCCAATTGAAATGGAAAAACAAATTATTCGAACTTTTCTGCGGACCAATTTTGAACTATGATCGAAATGATGATAAAAATGATTACAAGAATAATAGTCATGATGATTATGATATATAGCAGTCACTATGGAACCAGTTATGACTAAAATAATAGTTTTAATTATGATAGAACATTTTATAACATTGGAGCTATGTGCAACTTCTGGAGGCACAATGCAGAGCATTGGTATCAGATACCAGCGGTCTTAATCTTCTGGTTTCTTGGTTGTTCGTTAACGAATATGACTGTTTTTTCTCTAGAACGCCTGAATGCAACGTTTTGGCCCTTCAGATATCGTACGATCAAAAAGCCAGTCTACTGGGTTCTTATAATCGCCACCTGGTTGACAGCACTACTCTTTTCATGTGCGTTAAGAATCATTGATTACTTCACACGTGAATGGGACTATTATAACTACGCATGGAGTTCATTCATCTCAATTTGTCTTTTGGTTATTTGTGTCTCTTACGTTTTTATTTTTGTCAAGCTTCGCTTTGGAAGTCAGCCTCGACACCATGGCGCAGCAAATAGGGAAAGGAAACTGACCGTGACGTTGTTCACCGTGACTTCTCTCTCTCTCCTATTGTGGCTGCCTTATGTTATAACTAGTTCTCTTCTTTTTGCTACTGACATTTTCAGTTCATTGTCTGAAATAGCGTTTCTCCGTTTGCATGATGGTTCAATTGTCTTGTTATTCGCAAACTCTTTTAGAAATCCGATATTGTATACTATGAGAATGCCAGGTTTTAGGCGAGCTTTAAAGATGTTTTGTCGCCAACGACCTCAGCCACACAGACAGGTTGAGATCATTCCCCTCCGTGAGATTAACATCCAAATTTGAATTTAACTAGTGTGGGAGAAATAAATTTCTACAAAGGTTGTGTGAAGGTAGTTTTTGATAGGAAGTTTGCTCTAAACTCTCCAACCTCTGCATTAAATAAAAAAAGGAAAGGAAAAAAAGAGGAAAATTGAATTAATCAGATTACGTTAGCTATCATTTATGATTAAACGTGATTCCTTTGTACGTTTTATGTGTAAGGTTTCATTTTGCATTTTGTTCATTTGGGTATGTTTGATTATTTGTTTTACTTTAGATTTAGTTTTGCATCAGTTTATGTTTCGTTTGCGTGTGTTTAAGTTGAGTTCACGCTTTTTCCAGCGTGATTATGTCAAAGCCGTTTTTTTACCACTTTCTTTCGCTTAGATCGTTTCTATCGCTTTGCCTTGATTCGCTTCACGTTTTTTATAGGCTCACTGGATTCCGTTTTGTCAAAGAAAAAAATATTAGCTCGTTAGACGTTGTGATTGTAATTTTAATCTCACTGTGCAATTCAGCATTATCACATTATGTAAATAAACATTTAGGTAGTAGCTTGTCTTCTCAAAATAGCTTAGCGTTTTACATCCTAAAGTTAATATGCATTTCCTTCATACTGTTCTCGATATATTTCCAATGGTTTTGACAAGGAGAATTTGTTAAACAATCAAGGGTTCTTAAGTTGATGATCATATCCTTTATTCTTGCGACCTTTTTGTTTTATTGGGCCAAACTCAAACACAATCGCACACTACGGTACAGTTTCAGTATAGCTGATAATAATAGCAAAGAACTACGTGTCGAAGTCCTCTCATCAAGCTGCATAGTTTAATTCTTCTTCGAAAGTCTATTACTTTTCCTTCATTTCACAACCAGTAATATTTAATCTCTGATATGTACAAGGGCAAAGCTTCCTCGTCGTAATTCTATCATTCATTAACCTCATAATCAAACGCGAAATGCACTAACCTCCTGCATTGACTTTACTACTTCCGCCATCTTGGACGTCAGAGGGCGGACTGCGATGAGCCTGCGACAAGATTGCTTGCGGTGTATGCCTTAAAGTTGGGTTGTGGAAAAAAAAACCTGGGTTTTGTGGAAAAAACCTGAGTTTAGGGAAAAACTCGGAGGTTTTTGTGGTGAAAAAAAACCTGGGTTTTGGAAAAAAAAATAAAATAAAATAAACTTTTACAAGGAAAGATACGGTGACCCTTACGGGCCACCGTAATCTTTTACCTTTGCCTTGAGGTTATTCTTTTTGCCGTGAGTCTTTTTCTTTTACTGCGCGGTTATTTCTTTTGCCGTGACAGTTGTGGGCCACCCTATATATTATTAAATAAGAAACGAAGAATACGTATGAAGAAAGATTATTATTCAGATAACGATCGACGTTTTCCTTGTTGAACGGTTGCGCACAGCTTCCAAAATGTCAATTTTGCAAACGCCATGTTCGATTCTGAGTTTTATCGCCGGAAGATTATAAAGAATCTGAGGACGCTTTTGAGAAAGTGAGTTCAGATACGGTAGGTTTTGAAGATTATTTTCTTGACAAAATTCATCGGCACAAATCGGCTCTTCGGAAAGGTGAGAGGTTTGGTCACTTCAGTCAAGTCACGTGGTGTCCTTAATCACCCTCAGTCGTTTGTTTGCTCTTGTTCCTATTTTGTATTTCTTAAGTAATTGCAAAGTATTTTTTTTCTTTTTATGTCTCCTAAAGTACATTAGAGAAGTGGATTCCAGAATTTTGTGTGCAGTGCAAGACAATTGAATGTTATTGTTAATTTATTGCGAAATCGCTTGAAGCTACCACGTCTTAAATTAGCATCAAGAAAACATTGAAAGGACAACTAGTCTATACTGAAAAACATTTATAATTTTAACTTGTTTAATGCAACTTTTACCAGTAATGAAAACAGAAAAACTGAAATTATTTTGCACAGAATTACAAAGACGGTAAGTTTTGAGTCGGTAAATGTGGGTTCAGGATTTTTTCTTTTTTTTTTTTTTTGTTCTTGTTTTTGTCCAACGCTCGCAACAAGACGAAAAACATCTCTGTTTCCTAAAAGAAGTGAACAGAATCATGCAAAATTCTTCAGAGCGTCTTTATTGCTTCTTTATATGGAAAACTAGAGAAAAACACCAAAGTGTAACCTATCTGTCACCGAACTGAATGGATTCGACTAATTTTAAACGACGCCATTGCCTAATCGATCGAAGGGTATGTTAGAAACAGGAATTCTTAATTCTTAATTATTATTCAACTCGCGATCGACTTTTTCCTAATTAAACAGCTGCGCACAGCTCATAAAGTGCCAATTTTGGAATGCAGGCGCCTGGCACGATTCTGAGTTTCATCGGCGGAAGATTATAAAGAACCTGAGGACGCTTTTAAGAAATTTATTTGAGAGAAGGTAGGCTTTGAAGATTATTTTCTTAACAAATTCCTCTTAAATTATTTCAATGTTTCTAAATTAAAAGAGAGTTCACCCTAAATTTTAAGGTGAATTTCTGATGGAGGAGGGTTGTCCAATACACTTTTACTCAGTCGACTCATTTGAGGCTATTTGAACGATGAAAATAACATGAAACCTCACTCAAGATTGAAGGATATCCAATTTTTTTTTTTTTATGCGGAGATCAAAACCTTCTGTGGCATAAATATATCAAAAATTAAAAGGAAAACTACTTGAAAAAGCGGACTGAATTGGCAGCTACAGCTGATATCTTCGGCCGATCGAAGTAAAATGTGTGTAAAAGAGAAATAGGTTCAGATATTCGACACCTGTTTGTATGATACCACGCCTGAAGGCAACAAATGATAACCGTTTTGTGTCAAATTCGTTTGATATGCTCTACCTGTTATTAGCCTATGTTTTTTAGCATACATCTTTTTCACACTCCCACATGTTCCAATGAGAATGTGTCACGAGAATTCGTTAATAACAAGACTTATTCGGAGAGCATTCATGGACTCCCTAACATTTTCCCTCCTTATTTTTTAAATTTTATTCAAGACTCTTATAATTTGAAAGAATAAAAAAAAACGTCTTCCGTGGCAGGAATATCCCTGACATGAAAAAGAAAAACTACTAAACAAGCGGAGTAAATTGGCGAATGCAACAGATATCTTGGATGGAAGAGAGTTTCAGATATAGAGTGTCAGTTTTCGAAACTCGCTTGACTTTAAGGTAATGAATAATAACCGTTTTGTAAAAATTCCTTTGATATGCTTTTCTTGTTATTAGCCCCTGTAAAAAATAAAAATAAATAAAAAAACATTTTTTTACGCCTACGTTCACCTATGGAGATGCGCATCTGTTGGAAAATAAAAATGAATAGCCTTTTTTTCTTTCTATTTTAGTTTTATCATTTACTCTCAATTGGTAAAAGAGAAAGGGGAAAATGAAAGAAGACTACTTCAAATACATTTTCCAAAAGAAAAAAATTCGAAAGGAGAACAAAACAAAAACAAAAATTAAACGCACAAGTAAAAGAAACGCGCTAGTACTGAGAACGTTCAAATATTAAAATAACGACGACCGAGACTTGGAGGAAGCCCATAATCCATTGCCAGCTTCAGAGTTATGAGTTACGGAAATCAACATCATCCGCATCTGGCTGAGAAAACTAATCAGTAAATGAAAAATGCGAAATAAAGTGGTGCTGATATCTGGTATGCAGATCCAGGTGAAGAGGAAAAATAAATTATTTGAACTTTTCGGCGGAACAATTCTGAACTACGATAGAAATGATGATAAACATGTTTACAAGAATAACAGTCATGATGATGACAGATCAACGTCCTCTTTGGCGTGAATATATTGAAAATGAAAAGGAAAAACTACTTGAAAAAGCGGAGTAAATTGGCAGCTACAACTAATATCTTCGGGCGATCGAGCTAAAATTTGTGACAAAGAGAAAAAGTTTTAGATATTCGACACCTGTTTGTATGATACCATGACTGAAGGCAAAAAATGAGAACCGTTTTGTGTCAAATTCGTTTGATATGCTGTACTCGTTATAAGCCTATGTAGAGTTTTTTTTTGAAAATCGCGTGACATAAAGCGATTTTTCTTGTTGTTAGCCTTGGTAAAAAATTTTAAGAAAACATTTTCTACGCTCACGTTCACCTTTTAAGTTGTGCATTTGCTGCAAAGCACGAATGCACAGCCAATTTTTTTCTTTATAAAGATTTTTCATTTATTCTCAATTGGTAAAAAAGAGAGGGAAAATTGAAAGAAGACTATTTGAAATACATCTGGCTCACAAATAAAAGAAACACAGTAGTACTAAGAACGTCCAAATATGAAAATAACAACGACGGTGATTAGGAGGAAACCCATAATCTATTGCCAGCTTCCGAGTTATAACTTACAGAAATCATCCATATCTGCCTAAGAAACTAATTAGTAAGTGAAAAATACGAAATTAAGTGGCGCTGATATCTGATATGCAGATCCAATTGAAATGGAAAAACAAATTATTCGAACTTTTCTGCGGACCAATTTTGAACTATGATCGCAATGATGATAACCATGATTACAAGAATAATAGTCATGATAACTTTAATAATGATAGCAAAGCAAGCGAAATAGAAACAAAAAGACAAAGAAACATCTTTGAAGTGTTGGCGTTTTATTTCCAACGCTAATTATCAATTATGCATCTGAATAAATTATCAGTCTTCACTTGAATATGCAAGATAATTAGTGAATAATACATGGTGGGCGCAGACATAGGATTTCTCTTTTCGTGTTCAGCTCGATGTCTTACGAGTTCGCATTGAGATCGCTGCGCTTACTCGTGAACGTCGAGTTAAACATGAGAAGAGAAATTCCGAATGTACCAGCGACCATTATTATTGTTTACCATCTAAACACAATAGGTCTTTACCGGCAAGTAAAATAGACTTTATTAATGAATGAAAAAAATAGGATCCACCATTCAAGAAGAAAGTCGTAAATTGCGTCAGCCAGAAGGCTAAAGATGAGAAAAAGCGTTCAATCATTACAAAAACAAGCAATGGGCGTAAATTTCGATTCACATAATTCTCTCTCTGAGAACCTTTGAGCCATACCAAATGAGCTGTCATTTATCTAATGATCTAAGACATATCTGATTGGTTCGTGCATGTCATGTTTGTAGGAAATATATTGCGGTGCGTCTTTGAAGGGTAACAGCCATGTCACGAATCTCTCTGAGAAAGTGTGGAAAGTAGCACGTGAATTCAAAAAAGTTATATTTCTGTAAAAAGCGGTCAATTCTATGCGACACGACAAAATGAACAAAAGCATGAAAAAGCGTTTTCCGAGCAGGAATTTAAAAAAATAGAACAAAATAAAATAAAATAAAATAATTAAAACCTATCAACTAACTTTTCTTTCTTTCTTTTTTTTTTTTTTTTTTAATTATTATTTTAATTTGAGTGAGGAACAAGCGAACTTTGGGGTCAGAATGTTCGTTTTCTTTTGCAGTAATGAGCCTTCGCGAACGGAAAGTTACGAGTTCAATATTCACTGATTCGTGAATCATAAAACGTGTTCAAAATCTCTTTGAAACAGCCTAAAGAAGTTTGATAGCTGTCTTAAGCAGCTATAGGAACTAGTTGTCGTGCACGACCAGAAGAGAAAGAAAGGTCGTCTTCATATCGGAGAGGGGTTTTTTAAAAGGACGTAGCTAACATTTACGAAAACGTACTGAAGGAGGGATGTAAGACCATGGGCAAACTTCGTTGCCTCAAGGGGTATCGAAATTAAGTGTGGAGGTTACGTCAGTCTAGTCTCCTTCGCAGTACTCTGTGGTCAAAATCATTGTCGGAAATACCTTAATATTTCTCAATTATTTGGAACAGGAAAAGACTACTCCAATGGCTTCTTCACCTGAGTGTATAACCTGGATGGTTGTGGGCCTGACTGAATCTGTCACCATAATAGCTCTGAATTCGTTGACAGTGATTGCATTTTGTAGAGACCGTAATCTTCGTAAACGATCCACCTACTTGGTGATAAGCTTGGCAGTTGCAGACATGTTATCTGGGGGAAGTTCTGCACTCGACCTCTTCTATGATGTTGGAGCGATATGTAACTCCTGGAGGTACAATATAGAGCATTGGTACACACATGTCACGCTCTTCTGGTTTGTCATCTGTTCGTTAACAAATATGACTGTTATTTCTCTAGAACGCCTGAATGCAACGTTTTGGCCCTTCAGACATCGTACGATGAAAAAGTCAGTCTACTGGGTTCTTATCATCGCCATCTGGTTAACAGCACTACTCATCCCATGTGCGTTAATAATAAATTATCACTATGCACATGAACAGAATTATTATTTCTACGCCTGGGGTTCATTCGTCTCAATTTGTCTTTTGGTCATTTGTGTCTCTTATGTTTTTATTTTTGTCAAGCTTCGCTTTGGAAATCAGCCTCGACACCATGGCGCGGCAAATAGGGAAAGGAAACTAACCGTGACGTTGTTCACCGTGACTTCTCTCTCTCTACTATTGTGGCTGCCTTATGTTATAACTACTTTTCTTTTTCATGCCACTAATATTTCAAGTTCATTGTCTGAAATAGCGCGTTTCCGTTGGCGAGGGGGTTCAATTTTCTTGTTTTACGCAAACTCTTTTTTAAATCCGATATTGTATACTATGAGAATGCCAGGTTTTAGGCGAGCTTTAAAGATGTTTTGTCGCCAACGACCTCAGCCACACAGACAGGTTGAGATCATTCCCCTCCGTGAGATTAATATCCAAATTTGAATTTAACTAGTGGGGGAGAAATAAATTTCTACAAAGGTTGTGTGAAGGTAGTTTTTGATAGGAAGTTTGCTCTAAACTCTCCAACCTCTGCATTAAATAAAAAAAAAATGAAAGAAAAAAAAGGAGGAAAATTGAATTAATCAGATAACGTTAGCGATCATTTATGATTAAACGTGATTCCTTTGTACGTTTTATGTGTAAGGTTTCATTTTGCATTTTGTTCATTTGGGTTTGTTTGATTATTTTCATTACTTTAGATTTAGTTCTGCATCAGTTTATGTTTCGTTTGCGTGTGTTTAAGTTGAGTTCACGCTTTTTCCAGCGTGATTATGTCAAAGCCGTTTTTTACCACTTTCTTTCGCTTAGATCGTTTTTATCTCTTTGCCTTGATTCGCTTCACGTTTTTGTTATAGGTTCGCTGGATTCGGTTTTTGTCAAAGAAAAAAATATTAGCTCGTTAGACGTTGTGATTGTAATTTTAATCTCACTGTTCAATTCAGCATTATCACATTATGTATCATAATAGCTTAACGTTTTACATCCTAAAGTTAATATGCATTTCCTTCATACTTTTCTCGATATATTTCCAATGGTTTTGACAAGGAGAATTTGTTAAACAATCAAGGGTTCTTAAGTTGATGATCATTTCCTTTATTCTCGTGACCTTTTTGTTTTATTCAGGGCTGATACTGTAAGGAGAAATTAGATGCAAGTCAATGTTAGAGTTCAAAGGGTTAACAGCTAAAGGGTTTGTAGATGAGCCAAGTGACCGCTCTTTATCAATTTGAATATACACAACATCAAAAAAAAAGGATGTGATTAGCTAGATTTATCTTAATTAGTAATGGTAATAGGACTGAGTGGAGTCCAATTCGGTATGCAATCATACTTTGTTATCACGAGTGCGATTACAGACCAAATTGGACTCCACGAAGTCCTATTACCAATTAATTATAAAAATTACAATTTGCGACAAGAGAAATATAGCCAAGTTATAAAAGAAAGAGAAAATTTGCATTAAAGACTGACAAAGGAATTCGTGTTTCTATGGTGAATGAAACCGAGGCTGTAGTTGGTTGATTTAAACTCATCTTTGGATGTGATTGGTCGATTTAAACTACAACTTTGGATATGATTAGCTTATCGAACCGTTCCATAACAAACTTTCCGATAACAACTTGGCAAGTAAATTAAAAGAAAAAGTGTGAGTTTTTCAAACCAATCACAATCGAGGAAATTGAAATTTTTATGATGAAGACTGATACTGTCAGCATAAATGCATAATTTCAAGATGATTAACACTTATGCATGTATGAAATAAAAAAATAGGAAATGGATAGATGTGTATTAAAAATAAACTGATATAAATAAAAGTCGACGAAAAAATATGAAGCAGGTTCTATTTTCTCGCGCAAAGGGATGCAATTGTCGAGCGTGGGAATTGGATAAAGCAACAAGACTTCAGCATTAAAGTCCTACACCCAGGAGAAGAGGGTGAAGTTTGCATATCTGTTTGAATAGCGTTATTTACCTCAAACTTAGGGAATAAAAAATGAGAGAATAAGGATCGGTAAACGAGGAACAGGGAATAAAGAACGGGGAAGAGAAAAAGTGAACGGGGAACAGGAAACAGACAACAGCCAACAGAGAACGGGGATATGATGCTATGTTTAATTGAACGGCTCATACATTGTGAGATCAGGATCGACAACAGAATTGAGTTTATCGCAGTCAGACAGTAACGTGTTTTTCATTGACCATCGATAAATTTGTGTAAAGCCCTTCCCTTCTTTCAGCTTGTAGTCAACTAAAGCAAACACGACAACAAAGACCGGCAGATTCCTGTAATAATAGGATAACTTAGTTTATGGAAATCGTCATACGTATGGACCTGTTCTATACATGAGCCAAACTCAAACACAATCGCGCACTACGGTACAGTTTCAGTATAGCTGATAATAATAGCAAAGAACTACATGTCGAAGCCTCTCATCAAGCTGCATAGTTTCTTCTTCGAAAGTCTATTACTTTTCCTTCATTTCAAAACCAGTAATATTTAATCTCTGATATGCACAAGGGCAAAGCTTGCTCGTCGTAATTCTGTCATTCATTAACCTCATAATCAAACGCGAAATGCACTAACCTCCTGGGATGACTTTACTACTTCCGCCATCTTGGACGTCAGAGGGCGGACTGCGATGAGCCTGCGACAAGATTGCTTGCGGTGTATGCCTTAAAGTTGGGTTATGGAAAAAAAAAAAAACCTGGGTTTTGTGGGAAAACAAACCTGGGTTTTGTGGAAAAACCTGAGTTTAGGGAAAAACTCGGAGGTTTTTGTGGTGAAAAAAACCTGGGTTTTGGAAAAAAAAATATTAGTTTTGAAAAATAAAACTTGACTTTTACAAGGAAAGATACGGTGACCGTTACGGGCCACCGTAATCTTTTACCTTTGCCTCGAGGTTATTCTTTTTGCCGTGAGTCTTTTTCTTTTACTGCGAGGTTATTTCTTTTGCCGTGACAGTTGTGGGCCACCCTATATATTATTAAATAAGAAACAAAGAATACGTATGAAGAAAGATTATTATTCAGATAACGATCTACGTTTTCCTTGTTGAACGGTTGCGCACAGCTTCCAAAATGTCAATTTTGCAAACGCCATGTTCGATTCTGAGTTTTATCGCCGAAAGATTATAAAGAATCTGAGGACGCTTTTAAGAAAGTGAGTTGAGATACGGTAGGTTTTGAAGATTATTTTCTTGGCAAAGTTCATCGGCACAAATCGGCTCCTCGGAAAGGTGAGAGGTTTGGTCACTTCAGTCAAGTCACGTGGTGTCCTTAATCACCCTCAGTCGTTTGTTTGTTTGTTCTTGTTCCTATTTTGTATTTCTTAAGTAATTGCAAAGTTTTTTTTTCTTTTTATGTCTCCTAAAGTACATTAGAGAAGTGGATTCCAGAATTTCGTGTGCAGTGCAAGGCAATTGAATGTTATTGTTAATTTATTGCGAAAACGCTTGAAGCTACCACGTCTTTAATTAGCACCAAGAAAACATTGAAAGGACAACTAGTTTATACTGAAAAACATTTATAACTTTAACTTGTTTAATGCAACTTTTACCAGTAATGAAAACAGAAAAACTGAAATTAGATTGAATAGAATTACAAAGACAGTAAGTTTTGAGTCGGTAAATGTGGATTCAGGATTTTTTCTTCTTTTTTTTTTTTGTTTTTGTTTTTGTCTCGCTCGCGACAAGACGAAAAACATCTCTGTTTCCTAAAAAGAAGTTAACAGAATCATGAAAAATTCTTCAGAGCGTCTTTATTGCTTCTTTCTATGGAAAACTAGGGGAAATCACTAAAGTGTAACCTATCTGTCACCGAACTGAATGAGTTCGACTAATTTTTAAACGACGCTATTGCCTAGTCGATCGAAGGCTATGTTAGAGACAGAAATTCTTAATTCTTAATTATTATTCAGCTCGCGATCGACTTTTTTCTTATTGAACAGCTGTGCACAGCTCATAAAGTGCCAATTTTGCCATGCAGGCGCCTGGCCAGGATGGCACGATTCTGAGTTTCATCGGCGGAAGATTATAAAGAACCTGAGGACGCTTTTAAGAAAGTTATTTGAGATAAGGTAAGCTTTGAAGATTATTTTCTTTACAAATTCCTCTTAAATTATTTCAATGTTTTTAAATTAAAAGAGAGTTCACCCTAAATTTTAAGGTGAATTTCTGATGGAGGAGGGTTGTCCAAGACACTTTTACTTAGGTCGATTCATTTGAGGCTGTTTGAACTATGAAAATAACTTAAAACCTCACTCAAGATTGAAGGATATCCAATTTTTTTTTTTTTAAGCGGAGATCAAAACCTTCTGTGGCATAATTATATCAAAAATGAAAAGGAAAACTACTCGAAAAAGCGGACTGAATTAGCAGCTACAGCTGATATCTTCGGCCGATCGAAGTAAAATGTGTGTCGAAGAGAAATAGGTTCAGATATTCGACACCTGTTTGTATGATACCACGACTGAAGGCAACAAATGATAACCGTTTTGTGTCAAATTCGTTTGATATGCTCTACTTGTTATTAGCCTATGTTTTTTAGCATATATCTTTTTCATACTCCCACATGCTCCAATGAGAATGTGTCACGAGAATTCGGTAATAACAAGACTTAGTCGGAGAGCATTCATGGACTCCCTAACATTTTCCCTCCTTATTTTTTTAAATTTAATTCAAGACTCTTATAATTTGAAAAGATAAAAAAAAACGTCTTCCGTGGCAGGAATATCTCAGAAATGAAAAAGAAAAACTACTAAACAAGCGGAGTAAATTGGCGAATGCAGCAGATATCTTGGATGGAAAAGAGTTTCAGATATAGAGTGTCAGTTTTCGAAACTCGCTTGACTTTAAGGTGATGAATGATAACCGTTTCGTAAAAATTCTTTTGATATGCTTTTCTTGTTATTAGCCTTTGTAAAAAATAAAAATAAATAAAAAAAACATTTTTTTACGCCTACGTTCACCTATGGAGATGCGCATCTGTTGGAAAGCAAAAATGAATAGCCTTTTTTTCTTTCTATTTTAGTTTTATCATTTACTCTCAATTGGTTAAAGAGAAAGGGAAAAATGGAAGAAGACTACTTCAAACACATTTTTCCAAAAAAAAAAAATTAGAAAGGAGAACAAAACAAAAACAAAAATTAAACGCACAAGTAAAAGAAACGCGCTAGTACTGAGAACGTTCAAATATTAAAATAACGACGACCGAGACTTGGAGGAAGCCCATAATCCATTGCCAGCTTCAGAGTTATGAGTTACGGAAATCAACACATCCGCATCTGGCTGAGAAAACTAATCAGTAAATGAAAAATGCGAAATAAAGTGGTGCTGATATCTGGTATGCAGATCCAGGTGAAGTGGAAAAACAAATTATTTGAACTTTTCTGCGGACCAATTCTGAACTACGATAGAAATGATGATAAACATGTTTACAAGAATAATAGTCATGATGATGATGATATCTTTCACTTTGGAACTGGTATTGATTACAAAACATCTATAACAATGATAACAAAACATGCGACATAGAAAAAAAAGGACAAAGGGACATCTTTGAAG